AGTGGCCCATCCACTTCGACGGAGTGGCAGAGGAATTCATTCAATCATTATGCTAGAATTTAGAAAGAGGAGGTTGGCAAGAAATGACATCGATTGGAGGACAAATTGAATGTATATTCTTTTCTTACTGCTAAAAATGTACTGAAATTTGTATACAAAGATCTACATTGCTCTAGTTGATGAAACCGATATGTTGGTCGTATTGCAGATCGGGCGTTGATATTGATAAACACTAATATATAATACTAAAGTATTATTGTACGTAGAAAAATAAATATAACATGTAATTTATGCAGTATTAGTGTTATGTTACCTTGATCAAAATGGCAAGTATTACTCCCTATGCCATATTGATTAAATTCCCTCTTCGCAGTGTAGGAGTCATGACTATAGAAGTAAGTTTTCGAAAATGAAGAAACTTGTATGTCGAAATAGCACAATGTCTCCAGAAAATAAATTATTTTCCACCATAAAATTACTAATTCCCATGGTAAAGTGCATATTTTCGACGTAAACTTCTATTCATTTGCTATTATTAATGCCACAGAATTACTTTTTTCGTCAAGTGTTGCATTAGATGACGATGCATACAATTGAGAATTCTCTATTAACAAAATTATAGTAAATGTAAGAATGGTGAATGTATTATAACATTTAAATATATAAGATATGACTACATTGTCTAAAGTTATTCTTTTTATTTATTTATTCTGAAGGTATTGCAAGTGTGAGATGTCGTATAACCCTGATGATCTCATGGTAAAATGTGAAGGATGCAAGGATTGGTATGAGTTTTAAATCTCTTTGAAATATATTTGGATGTTGCTTCTTTCTGTACCTCATTATAGATGCAGTAGGTAATTAGGCATGTAAACTATTTTGGGTAATTAGATATTAACATATCACCATTCATGGCAAAAACCATCATATTGTAACAAAATGTGATTTAGTCAATAAACAGCGAAGAATGAACTTTACACTGCCATTCCACAAACATTAACAGCCGGTAGCACTACAAGTTTCTTGTTGGCTCAACTCTAACCCCTCTTCCCCATTCTGTAACCAATAATTCCCTCAGGAACTGCATGTTAAGACTACCGGAAATAAGTTGTTTACGTTGCTAATGAAGTTTGATCTTATTACCCACTTTTTATTTGTTAAGCTAATTAATTACCAAATATTAGTTATTCCTTTCCATTATTGTTGGATCACTAGCCCCCTTCATATGGAAGAGAAAATGACTGATAAAGAGCGTAAAGTTCTTTCGTTTAATACTGCAAAGGGAATATGTTCTTTATGGCGTCATCCATGTAAAAATAAAGAAAAGATAAATTCAGGTTCGTAAGATGATGAGGGAAAAATGAGAAACTTCTTAATTTGAGGGAGGCTTGGAAACATTAATATTGGTTTGCAATGAGACTATTTGTGAACTGTCTGAGACATTTTAGTGGCAGGTTTTATATTCCTTAGTGTTATGATCTGAAAACATGTCTATTCATTCTATTATTATACGGATTGAAAGCTTATTACAAAATTGAAGTATTACTAGTGCTCTGTATCCTTAGAGATCTAAATTTCCAGGCCATAGGGTTATGTTCAGCCTACTTGTACATATGCTCATTTTCTTTTGTGCTTAATAAAAGTCTTTAAAAAATGCAGGTTTCATCCCTCCTGTTTAGCTGAGCACGAGGCTAACTCATTTCATGTACCTCCTGTTGTTGAGCCGAAGGTTAGACTGTGTCTTCCTATTCAGAATATTTGTTTATGGTTTCCATTTGAGACAATTGTAGAACTGACTTTGTAAAAGAAATTTTCTCTATGTTTGAATAATATGGAGTGATTGGTACAAATTGGACAGAGAAGCAAGGAGTAACATCTTTACCCTTCTCTTCTTTTTGTTTTTTGTTAGTTGCTGCCTTTGATGGGTATAAGAATATAGTGCACTAAGGATTAGGGTATAACTGATTTTTGCTCTGATTGCTATGTGATGTAATTGTCCCTAAGAAGTTTGTTTTTATTATTATTTTTTTATCTTGCTAATTTTTCCACTGACTTAATTTTGTATGTGGGAGTGTCTAAATTGTGCTGTGGGTACTTCTTATACGTTACCATAATCATCTGTTCTGTATTGTAGTGGACCTGACTTTCTGCAACTGAGAAAAATGATCATATTATGTAGTGGACATAGTAGTTTTGCTTTTAGTTGATTGCTTTATCCATCTATTGGTTGGAGAACATAGTTGAATGGAATGTCCAAGACACTGTTAATCTGTGAACACATCATTTGTTTCTGTTGATAGATTTTTTGCACTTTTAAAAAACCTTAGTTTCTTTAATGGGCTGCTCTTAGAAGTAAGACGTTATCTATACAATCTTGTTTCCCTTCTTTTCTTTGCTCTGTGTTGGTTCATTTTGATATTCCATTCAAGTTCCCTGAAATTATTAATATCTTGTGTAATTTGCTCGTTCCAAGACCATTCCCTTTAATTCTTTAAAGACAAAGAAAGGTAATATAAGAGGAGTATTGATGAAAGATGGTGATGAAATTGATGCGATGTTTCTAATATATATATATATATATATATATATATATATATATATATATATATATATATATATATATATATATAGAAAAGCGCTCAAATGTGGCAGTGTAATTAGGTGTGGCAGTGTGGTTATATTTGAACCATTGGATCAAGGCAATCTAACGGCAGAGGCTTATTTTTTTAAACAAGGAAGATTTGTTCGCGTTTTGGTAAGTGGGGGTAGTTATGTAATTTTGTTTACATGGTTACATGAATGTATATAAGGTAATTTGTATTATGTTCTGTTCTATATATTTAAACTCGGAGAAAATCGGCAACTTGATGAAGAGAAGATCAAGATAGCGATCACGGTCGCGATCGCAATTTCGGGAAGATCACGGTCGCGATCGCATCGCAAGTGGGAGAAGGTCGCCGGAGATCAGTTGATAGGGCAATTTGAGTATACCGGGCAGTTTGAGATATCGCAATAAGGGATTTTTTGTGCGATGGAGAATGGTATGTGTTGATTTATTGACGTTTGTAGTTTTATTTTGATCATAATAATATGCGTTTGTAATGTCATGGATGTTTTATATCGGTTTTATCTGGATTGATATTTTTTCTTGGGGGTGAGATAAGTCCCTGTTGTTGTACGACGTTGTGTGTTACTGTGTGATTACAGTGCAAAATTTGAATCGTCGTGGTGCATATTAAGGTAGTATAGTGTTGTGTGTGTTTTGTAGGTATCAGATGTTATGCATGAGTTATTTAGTGCGTTATTATATATATGTGGTGTGCAGCTGTTAATTTGGACTCTGTGGGGCTTGTTTGTGTTAAAGGTACGTCTATTGATGTTGTTGTAGAAGGCAGTGGTGGTGTCTGCAATACAGGGCATTCCAATGATGATGGGGTGGATCGCAGTGGCGGTGTTTGTGATGAAGGTTATCATGGTATGTGTTGATTTATTTGATGTTTGTAGTTTTAATTTGTTCATAATAATATGCGTTTGTTATGTAATGGATGTTTTTATATCGTTTTTTTTATCTGGTTTGATATTTTTCTGGTGGTGAGATAAGTCACTGTTGTTGTTACGATGTTGTGTGTTATTATCTGAATATAGTGTGAAAGTTGCATCTTCGTGGTGCATATTAAGTTAGTATAGTATTGTATGTGTTTTGTAGTTACTAGATGTCATGCATTGGTTATTTAGTGTGTTATTATATATACATGGTGTGCAGCTATTAATTTGGACCCGGTGGGTTTCATTTGTGATAAAGATACGTCAATTGATGCTGGTGTAGAAGGCAGTGGTGGTGTCTGCAATACAGAGCATTCCACTGATGGTGATCATATTGATGGTTGTGTAGAAGGAAGTGGGGGTCAGTGTGATGAAGGGAATTCAACCGATGTTGCTGTAGAGACTAGTGGTCAGGGTGCCAGTGAACACTGTTTGACTGACGTTGAGGCAGAAGACAATGCATTTGTTTTGGAAATGTCTCCTGGGTTGACTAAGTATTGGCGTCCAGTTTGCAGTGATAGTTTGAAGCCTGTTGTGGGGCAAACGTTTGATTCCTTGGATTGTGCTATTGTTTTTTATAAACGGTATGCTGGGTATGTTGGTTTTGATTGTAGACAGGGTACAATTCGGAGGAGGAGGGATGGTGTTGTGGTGGAGAGACAGGTATTCTGTAGTCGAGAGGGGTTTAAAAAGAGTATTTATAGTTCGCAATCTACGTGTGTTGGTGATGGTAAGCCCATTGTTGTGAAGAGACGGAGGGTGACAAATAGGGTTGGGTGCAAGGCTAAAGTGATGTTTAAGCGTAAGTCTAATGGACTGTTTGTTGTGCATTTTTTGGAGGAACGACACACTCATGTGATGTGTTCAATCATTGCTAAGCAGTTTTTAAAGGTGAATCGTAGTCTTGATGCTGGCCATCAAATGTTCATTGCAAGTTGTGTTCGGGCAAATATTGGGTATGTTCGGTCCTATAAGCTGTTTAAGGAGATTGTTGGTGAGTATTCCAATGTTGGTGCTACTGGGGTGGATTTTAAGAATTTCAAGCGTGATTTGATGGCATACATATTGAATGGTGATGCTCAACTATTCATAGATACGCTTTTTAAAAGGCGTGAATTGTGCGAGGCTTTTGAGTTTGAATATGATGTTGATGACGTTGATCAGCTTACAAGGGTTTTTTGGACAGATGCAGTATCAAGGAAGAATTTTGCATTGTTTGGTGATGTTGTTTTATTCGATGCTACATACCGATCTAACAGGTTAGTAATTTATAGTTATTGTGTATTCTGTATAATAGTATGGTGCATATTTTTATTTCATATAGTGTGTTTTGTTATATTTAATGTATTCACTAGTTGTTGGGTTGTGCATTCTGTAGGTATAATTTGGTGTTTGTCCCATTTACTGGAATTGATAACCATAAGAGATCCATCACATTTGGTGCTGGTTTACTTACGATGGAAGACGTAGACTCATATGTTTTGCTTTTGGAGAGATTTAAGAAAACCATGCGTCATGAACCTATTTGTGTCGTTACTGACCAAGATCCAGCTGTTAAGATTGCAGTTGCCCGTGTGTTTGGTACATCAAAACATAGATTCTGCATGTGGCATATAATGTGCAAGGTTGGTGAGAAGGTTGGACCGGTCTTAGCTAAGGACGAGGTGTTTAGGAGGAAGTTGAATGGCATTGTTTGGAACAAATCTATAGATTCCAAAGCGTTTGAGGATTCATGGAGTCGTATCATAGAGGAATATGGTTTGGTTGATAATGGTTGGTTTCGTTACTTGTTCGAGTCTCGTACATTTTGGGCATCTCCATACTTTCATGATGAGTTTATGTCGGGATTTGTTAGGACAACATCTCGATCAGAGTCTCAAAATAGTTTTTTTTGGCAGTTTCTCCAATGGTCATTCCAGTTTGGTTGAGTTTTTTTGGTGCATTTTGATAGTGCTATTAGTGCACAACGACATCCCCAAGCAAAATTGACTGCTGACTCTGAATCATGCTTTCCTGTTTTGAAGACTCCATTGGCGCTGGAGAAACATGCAATGGATGTCTATACCATTTCTGTATTTTATGATGTGCACGTAGAGATTTGTGAAGGTTGTTTTTCTTGTCGAGTGGTGTCTTTGTGTGAGTGCGATGGTAAGGTGTGCTATGGGATAAAAGATGGTGACAAGAAGGCATGGTGTGTGGAGTTTTTGTTGGCTGACTGTACTGCTATATGTTCATGCAAGATGTTTGAGCGGATGGGGTTGGTGTGTAGGCATATTTTTTTTTTTGTGTTTAAAGATCGTGGACTTGAGAGAATTCCTTCTATGTATTTGGTGTCTCGGTGGACAAAGGCTGCTTGTTTGAAGCCAATTTTTGATATTGATGATACGGTTGTTGATCAATCGGCTAAAGTGGATAATGTTAGGGTGATTACTAATCTAATGTGGTCTGAAATTTATGCTTGCGTGGGATTGGCTGATGGTAATGTAGAACGGTTGGAACAACTAAGACGTGTTATTTGTGAGCAAAGAGAGTTTTTTTATCAAAGATGGTTGTGAGGATGACAATGGGGTAGCTGGTAGCAGCAAAGAAAGTGTGATTAAATCATTTTGTGGTGATGTGTCTCAGGGGTCAACAGTGGAGGTTCGTGATCCAATTAAAGTTAAGAACAAGGGCGGCGGGAAGCAGATGAAGAGTGCAAGGGAGAAAGCTGTGAATAAGTGTGTAAACCAATCAAGGAAATGCCATACTTGTGATGAATATGGTCATAATAGTAGGACGTGCCCATTAAATGGCTAGAGTTGTGTGTTGTTTTCTTAGTTGGTCTGTATTGTGGAATTTGTTAGGAATAAATTGTAATAGATTTTGATATGACATATTGTAATTCGTAGATCCCCAATTTTATTAGACTAGTCGAGTCATAGACCAAGAAAGGGAAAAATAAATTCATTAGTTGAGGAAATAGATGACGAAGATATAAAGCCTAAAATCAAGAATTTGCCTAGAGAAAATGGAAAAGGAAGATGTATGCGTATGATATTCAAGAAGAAACCCCTCAAGAAATCCCGAAGAAGAAAGAACGTGACTTAAAGTTTGCATGAAGCTATCTTGAATATCAAGCATCTATGGAAAGCAAGGAGTACACCAAGTGAAAAAAGAATATAACCAATAGGTTATACGGATGAGATGGTAAAAGCTTGAAATATTATGTGCAAGGTCACAGGTTTGAATTTCACATCCCACATATTTTAAAGAAGCCAAGTTTAATTCCATCAGTTAAAGTATGAGGCGATGGTTTGGCCGAAGGGAAGCAATTTGCAAAGTCAAAGAGGATGAGATTTCCAAATTGACTAAGGGATGAAGTTTACAAGTGAAGGGATGAAGTTTCCCAAATTGGTATCCCAAAATTGAAAGTTTCCCAAATTGGTATCCCAAAATTGAAATAGGGATGCAATTTCATCTGAAGGGTTGAAGTTCGAAATTGAAGTTCAAATTGATATCTTGAAGGGAAGGCAATTTCAATTTGAAGGGATGAGATCTACAAGGCTTCAATTTCAATTTGAAGGGATGAGATCTACAAGGCTTCAATTCAATTTCAATTTGAAGGGATGAGATCTACAAGGCTTCAATTCAATCGGAGATATAAATTACAAGGGATGAGATTGCAAGTCAAGGCTTCAATTCAATCGGAGATATAAATTACAAGGGATGAGATTGCAAGTCCTGATATCTTGAAGGGAAGGCAATTTCAATTTGAAGGGATGAGATCTACAAGGCTTCAATTCAATTGGAAATATAAATTACAAGGGATGAGATTGCAAGTCCAAATCAAGTAAGGGATGAGATTTCAATTGACAAATCTAGCAAGGGATAGAGATTTCATTTCCCAAAATAGCAAGGGATGAAGTTTCACAAGGGAAGAGATTTCCCAAGTCAATTGAAGAGATGAAGTCTGGAAGCAGTATACAGACCCAGACGTGAAGTACAGAGGAAAATATAAGAAGAAGTTGCAGAAGCAAAAATACTAGTCTAACTAGTAAGGGATTATATTGGAGATTATATTTTGAAGATAAAAATCGCAAGAGGCATGATCTACACCAGATGAAGATTTATGGGACGCCATTTTTGCGAAAACCTCAAGCTCAACTTGCAGAGAAATCTCTGACATATCTGCAACGTTATCTTATCCTCTGACAAAAGGCTATACAGCTGGATGAAATTCAAAAATGAGAACGTTTCTCTCCAACGGAAATATTTTCATTACCAGCTATAAATAGATGAAGATTGAAGCTGAGGAAAGCAGAAGCAAGAAGTATAGAAGCAGAAGCAAGAAGTATAGAAGCAGAAGCAAGAACGCAATAGAACAAAAACAGAGCTAAACAGAGCATACAAAATTCAAAGAAAGCTTTCCATCTCAGGAGCTTAAATTGATATATTCTTTGTGAGATAAACACTCAGAGTGATACAGAGCTTACAAAAGAAATATTCAAGAGTGTTAGAATCTTCATCAACTTCAAGAGACTCAGCGCACCATTGAAGATCATCTACAGAGTCTCAAAGTTGGAACCAACGCAAAACTTGTTTTTGAGCAAAACAAGGGAAAGGAGGAAAGTAACACGGAGTTGTGAAATCCTGGATTGTCACACGGAGCTGTGAGATCCGAAGCAGCAGTGTCGGAGGACATTGGGCGTGATTAGTGCGGGCTTTGTGATCAAAGCACTAGATCACGGAAGATACGTTTCTACCGGATCGTGGAAGACGGGGGGAAAGTAACGCGGAGTCGTGAAATCCTGGGAAAGTAACGCGGCGACGTGAAACCCGAAGCAGCAGTGTTGGTGTCACTGGGCGTGATTAGTGTGGGCTTGGTGATCAAAGCACTAGATCACGGAATTCATTGTATCTTGGAACCAAGAAGTGGTGGATATAGTGAATTGGCTCTTGGAGAAAAAAGCAAGTGGAGTAGGAGGATTACACCACCTCGCGAACCACTATAAATTGCCTTGTGTCCTTTACTGCTTTCTTTACTTACTGCTCTTGCTTGCTTCTCACGAGAATAATCTTGACACGATCTACACACACACCGTATCGTTTATTAATTTCCGCTGCGCACCATACTCTAACAATCTAGTTAAGAGTTTTGGTTTATCTCTGGCTTAGCAATTGTGGTACTGTGCTAAAAAGTTTGAAAGTCTATTCACCCCCCCCCCCCCTCTCTAGACTTTTACCTTACCTCTTTTGGGACCAACAATTGGTATCAGAGCTGGTGCCTATCCGAGTCAGAATTTGTCTCTAATCGATACTAACAATTGGTATCAAGGCCTGTAGCCTATTTGAGTCAAATTTGTTTCAAAGCAAGTTTTCTCTTTAGGTCAACCTTGTTTCTGACTGCTAGGCAGATCCATCTTACCCAGTGTGTGTAAATTGGATTATTTGTCTCTCGTATCCACCGAGAAGATGAATAAAGATTTAGCTCAAAATCTATTATTCTCACTTGATAAATTTGATGATTGGAAAGTTCGTATGCAGGTTCATCTATCAGCTTTACACGATGAAATGTGGGAAGTTATTTCCACTGGCCCGATCGAAATATTGAAAGTAAATACGGCTTTTCTTCTATCACCGGATGCTCAACAATTCGTACCTAAGCCAAAACCGGAATGGACGTCGGATGATAGAAAGAGGAACAATCTTGACAACATTGCCAAAGATATTCTGTTCAAAGCCATTGATGATACAATATTCCCAAAAGTTCGAAAATGTACAAGTGCAAAAGAAATTTGGGATACTCTCATCAAGATCGGAGAAGGAGATGAACAAGAAAAAGATAACAAGCTCACTATTGCTATGAAGAAGTTCGAGGACTTCAAAATGCTCTCAAATGAATCCATTGTTGATATGGAAGCTCGAATGATCAAAATCCTTGGAGAAATTAATGACATTGGCAAAAATATTAGCCAAAAGGAAATTAATCTCAAAGTTCTACGAGGCTTACCATCTACATGGGACATGAAGGTTACGGCTATGCGAGATCACCGAGATCTAAGAATATTGTCAACCGACAAATTATTTAGTGATCTTAAAGCATATGAGTTCGAAATGAAGGCCAAAGATGATGATGCTCATGAAATTCGAAATCCAGCTCTAATGGCCGAACAACCATCAACCTCTAGGTCAGTAGACAATATTGATTTTATAACTGACGAACAATTTGCTCTTTTTGTTAGAAAATTCAAAAGGTTCATGCAAAAAGGAGACAACAAAAATTCTGCTCATGGAAAATATGTCTCTCGCACGACACAAGAAGAGAAAGTCGAAGAAAACAACAATTTATGCTATAATTGCCGCAAACCCGGACATTTCAAAATAAATTGTCCGTATCCGATCGTTAGCAAGTATCAAGGCATAAATGTTGAATCTACACCGAATAAATCCGAAAGCAAAGATTGAAGGTTCAAGCGCGACAAAAGAAAAGCTCTCGTTAGCAATGAACCAAATGAAAATGATGAGTCGAATGGATTGTCATCAAGTGATGAAAGCTCAAGTTCGGAAGATGACACGGCTCTAGTATGTAAGTCAATTGAGTTGAGTTTAAGTGAAGAGTGCTTTATGGCTCTTGGAGCAGAGGAAGAAGAGGTAACATCTAATTCTTTCAATTCTGTTAATTCCTCTTTTTCTCGTAAATCTATTGGCAGTCTAATGCGATATTGTCAAGAGATTATGCTCACTCATCCTCAACTCAAGGAGCGCAATAATATTCTAATTCTTGAAAAAGAAGAGATGAATAAAAAATTGCAAGATGCTTTACTTGAAGTGAGTAACTTGAAGAGTGAAAATATTCAACTTCAAGAAGAGTGCAAAGCAAGAGAGGTTAGAGAACATAACCTTCGGGCTACCATTGCTACGTTTACTAATTCGTCCAAAATTATGGATAAAATGGTAGACATGCAAAAGCCATCAGGAGATAGAACCGGAATCGGTTATGACTCCACATGTTCTTAAACCCCTCCGAAACTGACTAATTCTACTACTCCTTTAACTAATAAAGTGCAAGTGGTAAAATTTGTTAAAAGTCAGTATAGCACAATGAGACAAGGACTTGGCTATCATGAGAAAGCAAAGTTGAATGTTGAAAGGCCGAAACAGTTCAATACTATGGCAAAGCATCAAAAATTCTTCAAACAAAGATATGCCAAAGAGTCAAGTGCAAAAAGAATTTTTAGAAAAGAGGGAAGCTTTTCTAGAAATAGAGATGGAAGATTTTATTCCACTCAAAAGGATTGGCTGTGTAAATCTTGTTTTAATGCTTCTTATAGACCAAAGCAACAATCCTCTTCCCGGGTGCCTAAGTTTAAAAATGTTTTTCAAAATCCGGCGCCAAAAATGTTTTCAAAAGTTAATTATGATTATCGTGTTTCAAATGGTTACAAACCGCCTTATCTTAATTCAATAGGATCTAGGTGGGTTTGGTTACCAAAAATTACTAACAGCAAAGGACCCAAGCAAGTATGGGTACCTAAAACCAACTAATCTTTTTTGTAGGATGTTTGGTACATCGACAGTGGTTGCTCACGCCACATGACTAGAAATAAATCTTGTCCAGTGAATTTCAAGAAAATCGATGGACCAAAAGTTATATTTGGAGGAAATCAAAATTATGGAACTACAAAAGGAGTTGGCACAATTGAAAGAAATGGTTTGAAGATCGAAGATGTTTCATTTGTTGAAGGCCTAAAATTCAATTTGTTGAGCACTAGTCAATTTTGTGATAAAGGCTATCTTGTGGAATTTTCCAAAGATAA